GGGGGGGGGGGGGGGGGGACGGTATAGGGCCTTATAGTATAAGACTATAAGGGGGGATTCTCTCAAGTTGTCGGAAAGTTTAGGCAATAGTTGTCAATCCACTCATTTTATTGTCTTACAAGGATGTTTTTGAAGTCCGTCTCCCGATTGAGGTGTCCTTGGTTGGTCTAAGAGGCTATAAAGTCTATGATTGGATCCGATCATGAAAGACAAGTTCTTAGGATCTCATTCTAGTTTGAAGTATGCACAACTTTGTGTTGTGTGAGTCATGTGTGCTAAAATTTCCCCCTTCTACTTTTAATGTCTTTTTGAAGAAACTGCACATGATCATAGACCTGGAAATAATAATGTGCTTTGACCTTGCAAGGATTGTGGTGCATGCCATACATAAGAACAAGAACGATCTTCAACATCCCGTTTGTGGTGGTACATAAGGGAGGACACCTGCAAGGGATTACAAATTGGAATAGGCCATTTTGAGGAAGCCAAAGCAACTTTTAGCATTGCACAATTATGCTTGAACTGTTCTTTCAAGATAGTTTTAAAATAATTCAAACACTTTACACAAACCCACATGTTCAAGTAGCATACAAAGAATTAATATGTTTTATTGTCCTTGAATGAGGAAGTTAAGTGCCCACAATTAATCTGAGAGAAGGTGTGTGCCATAATAGACAATGGAACACAAATTCATACCCACCAATGAAACTAAAATTCTATATAGACACGGAAAAGAAAAACGATATGCAAGGAACAAAAAGAACCAAATCACAATCACAATCTCCGAGCTGGGAATTGCAATGGCAATGAACTTGTTGATGATGGTTGTTGTTTCAATCCGCTCATCATCATCTTCATAGCATCAGCACTGTTTATCTGCACAGACTTCCTCCTACTCTTCAATGGAGAAACAAGCTTGTTTGCCAGCCGTGATGGCGAAAATGATCTTCTAATCTTTGATGGCGAAGAAGAAGATGCTAATAGCAGTCGGTTTGCAAACCTTGAAGGGGAAAGTGACCTTTTCAGCCTTCCAGCCGTAGAAATCTTCGGAGACTTGTTGTCTTTAGCCACAGCTCTTGTAGGAGGAGGAGGGGAAATAGACAATGGAGGGCTCCTCCTGATCTTCACCTGAAACCTCCTAGAAGGCGGATTCGGGGACTTGATCAAGAACCTGTGTGGGGTTTTTTGCTGAATAGTTCTTGAAAAAACAGGTGACTTTGTTCTGCTGGTTTTCTGCTGCTGTGAAGCTGCTGCAGGGGGTGATGATGATCTATGGAACAAAGGGTTGGGGAAAAGAACAGTCTTTCTTGTTGTAGCCCATGGCCTATTATTATTATTCCTCCTAGGAGAGGCAATGTATTTGCCATTGCAGTTTTCTTCAATTTCACACTCTTCTTCAGTCTTTTGTGGAGGAGGAGAGACCTTGAAGTTTATGCGCAAACGGGCACGCCTCAGAGAAGGACGGGGGACAGCTTTAACCTCTTCCTTCTCCCTTTTTCTTCGAGCTCGCAGCTCAAAGTTTTCCAGACCAGGATTCTTATTGGTTCGCCGGATTGTGACCGGAGGGGTTTTGGGGTCATCAGAGACCGCAGCCACTGCTTCCACTACCTCTTTTGCAAACTGACTTGCTTGTAGGATTTCAGTCACTGTCTCTCCTAGCAGCATTGCTGGCAATGACATCCTCTTCCACTCTCCTGCACAAATAATCAACCATCCATCAATCATCCCTCTCTGTGGTCAGACTTATTTTTTTTTGGTGGGATTTTGGTACTTTTACTGGGTTTATTGCCTATAACTTCTTCTAACCCAAGAACTTTGGGGCTTTTTTCTGCACATTTTAGTGCTTAGTAGTGATTAAAATCTTCATTTATAGATACTTTGAATTCGAATGTCGGATTTTCATTGGGAAAAACAGAACAACTTGCCAAGATTTTTTCTAGTAAAAGTAATGAGATTACAAATATTTCAAAAACAGTTCTTGAAAGTCTCACAAAATTGGTTATTGGCATTTTCTCAAAAATGATGTGGAGAAATTTCACTGCCCCTCAAATGAGACTCAAAAATTAGGGATATTTCTATCATTTATTAGTCAATTCTTCAAGCCACAATACCTGCTGCATTCGCTGGCAATTTGCCACGAGGAGATCTGTTAGAAGAACCATTCTTGATCCTAGGATTGGGAGAAGAACAAAAACATAGTCAAAGACAAGAAACACCTCAAATTCTGAGATTCTCAAAAAGACAAAATCTGAACACTCTGTAAATGTGTTTTTGAATCAAAGTTACCAGATAGAATCTTGTTTGCATCTGAGGCTGGTGGCCCTTAAATAGGCTCTGGTGCTTTTAGGGCTAAGACCCGCCCCAGATATAATCCCCTTTCCTCCGGTCACAGTGCATTGCAGCTCTTCTAATCTGGCCACACACTTGTCCACCTTCACCACAAAAAAAGGGTTTTTTTTAAGATCGAGAAGAAATGGCAGAAAATCACAATCAGTCAAATTAATTGTTAGAAAACCCAGAAGGAAAAATACAAAGAAAGAAAAAAAAAAACCTTTTTGAGAGTTTCCCGGAGGCGGATGGGGTCCAGAGGGGCCGCCGGAGTTTTCCACTGGTGAAGCTTTGGCGGGCTTCTGGCCACCATCTTCTTCTTCTTCTTCTTCTTTTCTTGTCAAGAAACTCAGTTTGTCTACGAACTACGAAGTGGAAGTCAAAGGTTGAGTTCGAGGGATAGGGGAGAAGGACCACAACGTTATAGTGATGAGTTGGAAAGGTGTGACTTTTAAAGAACCACAACGGATAGTTTTTATTTGGTTTGATTGCTTCTAAAACAGTTTTTATTTGGTTTGATTGCTTTTAAAACAAAACAAGTAACGGTCCCTTCCTTCGTTGCAAATCTGCACTGTTAAAGAAAAAAAATGGTACTCCGTATATTAGTCTCACTACTAATAAAAATCATACTCCGTAAAATACACCAATTTTTATTTTCTCTGTTCCAAAGTTTTCTTCCTTATTTTTATTTGGGAGATGTTAGGGGTGTACCCCAAATATACACCACCCCACTCTTTACCATTCATTTTATTTTATTTTTATATTTAATTTTTTTTGAACTTCACTTGCTTTTTTGTGTGGTTATGGAGGGGATGAGGATGTTTGGGGTACACTTTTGGTGTACCCTTAGCATTTTCCTTTTTATTTTCTTGGTCAAATATTTTTAAATTTTGATATAAAAAATAGATTTAACTATTGTATGAATTTACTATTAACATGTATTCATTTTAAAATATAGTATCAAATATTATTTTTTTAATAATATAAATAAAGATATTAATTGTCAATATATTTTTATCAAAGACCGTAAAGAATCAAATAAGAAAAAAATTAAGGATGAAGGGAATACTGATACTGATGGTGTAAATATAGCTGGGTGGATCGACCGGATTTGACCTGGACACTCGACCCGTAATATAAAACACACCAAGAACACAAAGTATGACCTAGACCGGGTAAATCTCCTCAGTCCGAATTATATTTCTTACTCTGTCTCAAGAGTGTACTATTTTTAGTGAGAGAAAGAATGGATCCCCTCTTCTATGCAATATCATCATATTTATAGAGAAGGATTTGTGACCTTCTCTTGTTCACTCATGGACAAAGTAGGAAACCAGGAGGAAGGCCACTGTACATAATCTAATCACTGTTCAATCATAGACTTGCTACTAATACAACCAAGCAGCACTGTTCAATCAAGCACTATAACATGGATATTCTCAATCCAATCAGCCCTGCAAGGTGACAAACATCCCTTTCACTGTTTGTCTCGTGATGGGCAAACGGCGGGGTGGTCCCTCCATCTTTGACGTGGTTCACCATGCCTGAGATACTGGATCAATCTTTTTAAAGTGAGATGATATGACCGGTCACCTTTTCTCAAAGGTTGACCGGTCATTTTGGTCTTCTGGGTTCTTCGCAACATTAGGTGACATTTTGGCTATCGCCCAAAATGTGACCGGTCACTTTTTTAGTGGAAGTGACCAGTCAATATTTGACCCGTCCCAATTGAAGAGTTAACATCATTTGGTGACTGATAAAAGTGACCGGTCATATTTTGACCTGTCCCTTTCGGTTATCCGGGTCGGGTATAAGGATATACCCATCAATAAGTCCTCCACTTACCGGCCTTGTGAGGAAATCATCAAGGGCGGGAAGTATACTTGTGTTGACCTATCACACTTTGAAATCATCAAGTCATTCTTGCTGACCAGTCCTTCCACATCATCAAGCCTTTCCCTCTAAGACCTGTCCTTATTTGAAATCATCAAGCCATTCTCGTTGACATGTCCTTCTTTGAATCATCAAGTCATTCTCGTTGACCTGTCCTTTGAAATCATCAAGTCATTCTCGTTGACCTGTCCATTGAAATCATCAAGCCATTCTCGTTATTGACCTGCCCTTGTTTGAAATCATCAAGTCATTCTCATGACCTGTCCTTTTTTGAAATCATCAAGTCATTCCCATGACCTGACCTTCTTTGAAATCATTAAGTCATTCCCATGACCTGTCTTTCTTTAAAATCATCAAGTGTTTCTCATGACCTGTCCTACTTTTGAAATAATCAAGTCATTTCCATGACATGTCCTTTGAGATCTTCAAGTCTTTCTCATGACCTATCCTTTGAAATCATCAAGTCTTTCCCATGACCTGTCCTTCTGGCACTTTGGGGCTCCTCAGACCTGACACTTTGTGGATCATCACACCTATCACTTTGGAGTTCATCAGATCTGGCACTTTGGGGTTCATCAGACCTGGCACTTTGGAGATCATCAGACCTGTCACTTTGGAGTTCACCAGACCTAGCGCTTTGAGATTCATCAGACCTGGCACTTTGGAGATCATCAGACCTAACACTTTGGAGATCATGAGACCTGGCGCTTTTGTAATCATCAAGTCTTCCTCTCAAACCTGTCATTTTTGTAATAATCAAACTCTAAATAATTGACCGGTCTACTTGTTTTTCTTTTTAGACTTCTGCCATGTAAGTCCTCCTAGTCCTCCTAGAGTACCCGGTCAAGTGCCTGGTGCACACCCCTTTACGAGTTCCTAGTCAAGTACCCGGTTATATGATGGAAAGAGGTTGGCCACTCTTTTTCCGGCCCGTCCCAAGAGTGGAAGGGTTTACATAAGAGTGGGGAGGGTTCTATGAAAAAGAACGCCGACCCTCATCAAATGGAAGGGTCACCAATTAAGGAGGCTTTCATGGTCCGGTCGTATTCCTTTGTGCTTGGTTGAACTTCTTGAATGGTTAAATTTTTTGCATGGTTATTTTCCTTCCTGGTCCCCCTTTGAAGTTGACTGGTTAGACTTGCATGGTTGTTTTCTTGCTTGGTCCTCCTCTGAAATTGTCTGGCTAGACTTGCATGGTTGTTTCCTTGCTTGGCCCTCTCTTAGGAATTCCTTTTAGAATGTCTCGGTCATCTCATGTCCTGGTGTTGAAAACATCCAGGTCTAGTAGGCTTGATTGAAACTTTTAAAGGACGTCCGGGTCTAGTAGGTCCTGGAAACATCCTGGTCTAAACTTTTATTCTCATCAACTCCTGAAAAGTCATGAAAACATCCGGGTCATCTCATGTCCTCGTCAAGTGCAAGTCTTGAAAACGTCCGGGTCATCTCATGTCCTGGTCAAGTGCAAATCTTGAAAATGTCCGGGTCATCTCATGCTTGACTAATCTTCTGGACCGGCTTACTGCTAGGTTGATGCTAGGTTGAGCTGCAACAAATGTCCAGGTCATCTCATGTCCTGGTGTAGTAGGTTAGGTTGAAAGTTTTGAAGATCACTTTAGACGCAAGGCTTGAAAACTTCCAGGTCATCTCATGTCCTGGTCTCTTGACTTGAAAATGTCTAGGTCAATTTCTTCCCGGCTTGTCTTCTGACCCAGTCAACCTCCAGGTTAGAATGTGACACTCTTCTAGGTTGAATTCTTCCTGACCAACTTCCAATGGCTTAGTTGCAATATGACGTCAAATTTTCTGTCCAGGTGCCGGGTAAAAAATATGACCGGTCAAAATGGAAGTTTTCCAGATCTGCCTGATTTCCTCAAATCCAACCCGAAAAATGTGACCGGTCACTTTTCTCAAAGTTGACCGGTCAAATTTTAATTTTTTTCCATTCGCATTTTCTTGCCAATCCAGAACATCAAAAAGTGACCGGTCACTTTTGACCATGCCACTTTCCTTTACCCCTTTGGCCTGGATGTCATGCCTAACAGCAACCTTGCTCAAATTTCGAACGAATAATCCGAAATGGTTTTGGAATCATCAAGTCTCAACATCAAGACCCGACCTTTCTTTGGAGATTTTGACCATGTCCTATGATCGCGAACCCTCTCCAAGGTTCAGCCCTCTTCCAGGCAACACCCTTCTTCCAGGGCCCCTCTTCCAGGTTTTAAGTCTTTTAATGTGCCATTCTTTAATTATTAGGTTGACCTAGCCAACCTAATCTTCCCACATGGGGGTATGCCGGTGAGAACCAGCCCTCATCAAATCCTGCACGTCCATATATTATGTGTTCGGAAATTCTAGTCTTCCCTAGACATTCCGATCCACAAAGGATGGCTCATACAAGACGGTAAATTTTTTTTTTGGCATCTTTTCTAACCCTTCCCGACCAAAAAGGTCGGTAGGGATCCATGTAAGTATGGATGCGAATCCTCTTCCAGATCCAGCCTATCTCAAGGCAATACCTCAACATCAAGGCCCCTATCTCAAGGGTTTTTTTATTTTTTATTTTTTTTATCAGCCCATGCAACGGTCCAGGTCCTAGACATCAAGACTTATCCATCTAAAGCAAGCTTAGTAATCTTGACCATATTTTGTCCATCCTCTTTGATTTCCCTGATCCTATTCATGTGGGCGGATTCAAGTACTCGCCTATAGGTCTTTCTCAAGCCCCGTAACGAGTATTTCATCCAATTCCCCTCTCAAGGTCATCTCCTTGAGCACAGCCCTGACATTTCGGCAGTCCGCCGTGTTGTGGGAGTCAGATTGATGGTAGGTACACCACTTCTCCGCCCATGGCCTCTTGGGTTGCTCTCCCTTCTTATCATCCCTTATTTGATGGACAGATCCGTCATAGGTGGACTTTGGCTTGGACCCTCCCATCTGGTCCTCCTTCTTCGGCTTGTCAGATTTCACCTTTGTATAGCCTTCCTCCAGCTCCCGCTTGCTCTTGTTCAAGACCTCCGCCTCGGCATACTCCCATGCTGTATTGTAGGCTTCCTGATAAGATGAGGGTGGCCTTCTACAAAATTTGGTGTAGAGGTCACCCGACCGGAAGTCATTCATTAGCAAAGACATGATCGTCTTATCGTCCATCTCTTCTACTTTATCGACCTCGTCCCTCCAGCGGGTCAAGAATTGAGTCAAGGACTCCTTCTCCCTCTGCCCTACCGTGTTAAGGTAGGTGAACTTCTTACTCTTGATGCAGTTGTCCTGGTACTTCTTGCGGAAAACTTCGGCAAGTTTCTCAAAGGATCCAATCTTTCCATGGGGAAGGCCGTTAAACCATTCCACTGGTCTCCCTCTCAAGGATGAGAAGAAGAGCAAGCATTCCTCAGCATCAGTGCACCCGGCCATCTGTGCTGCATTGTGGAAGGTGTCAAGGTGGACATTTGGATCCTCCTTTCCCGTGAACTTCTCCACGTCCAGCTTGATCTTCCGCCTCAGTTTTTGTGCATGTACCCTGGCTAAAAAGGGAGATTTGGCCAGGGTGTACTTCTTCGCTCCTGCCTTCTCTTCCACCTTTTCCTCCAGGGCACGTAGCTTTCTTGCTACGTTCCCTATCTTGTCCAGGTCATCCTCATCATATGAGATCCTGGTATATGCCGATGATCTGGGCTTGCTTTCAGCTTCCTCCTCGTCTAGGTGAATCGTCTTAGATTCCCTAGAACGACGAGATTGAGCGGGACGACTCCCGCCAAGTCTTTCCATTGCGCTAGTCCGTCCCATCTCAGGACCAAGACGTAGCTTGGCAGACTTGCGGGGTCCATCCTCTTTGTCCCCTAAGCGTTTAAACGTCGAATCTCGGGTCTTGCTTGGTTTGGCTATAGCCTTACCTTTCCTTCTGCGGGCCACCTCTTGCTCCGCCTCGTCCACCTCGTGGACATTTGAAGGTGCTGCTTCGTTCATGATCCCTGTCAAATTCACCGGGCGAACATGGACCATCCTTGGAACAAATGTTGATGGGGTCGACACCGGGGGTGGCATAATTGGTGGCGTCATGCCAGTATAGGCAAATGGCATGAAGCCCCCTGCTTGTTGCATCATGGCCATCACCTGTTGATAGCCCTGTAGAGCCTGAGCATTTGCCGGGTCAGCAGCAAATTGTGCCCAAGCTGACGGGTATGGTGCGAATGCTCCCCCAGGCGTTGTTATCGAGCCTGGGAACATTGTTGTCGTTGGAGCAGGAGTAGGGGTTGACATGATTGGGATCATGCCAACTGATCCTACCGTGGTGATCGGGGCAAAGGTCGTCCCCATGCCTGGCATCATCAATGGGATGGCAGGAGTGCTCTCACTCGCAGCCTGGCTTGACACAGTGTTGTGGTTGCTTGAAGACATGATTGTGGATATTTAGTGGGG